CCCTCCCTCCCTCCCTCCCTCACTCCCCTGTCTTGTATTCCCTCAGTGAAAAGCCAGAGTGTCGAATATCAGCGATATGCTCCCCCAGGGAGTCCATGTACCAGTCTGTGTGTTTGATATCAGAAGAGAGGAATGAATGTGTCATTGCCACGGAGGTGAGTGCTGAGCTCCCCGCTACTGCCAAAGTGTCCACTCCTGCTTTGTGTGGATGGGACAGAGACCTGGCCACTCTCACCCCCAGGTCCTCTCCTGCGGTGGGGGTTGGAGCCCCTCTTTGGCAGGCACATTCAGGGGGTTATGAGGGAGTGACTGAGGGTATGAAACAGGAGCCAGGGGCACACCTGGCCTGGTCTCCCCTGCAGTGTTGGGTCTGGGCAGGCAGTGCGATCCCTGGCCTGATCCTGGGTACTGTTTCCCAGGTGCTAGTAGCTGAGGATGCCTTCTCACTGGTTCCCTCTAGGCATGTGTATGTGGCATCCCCACTGGTTTCCCCCACTGGCCTGACCACTTCCACACTCTTAATTCTTCTCAGGTATAAGGCCCATGCCGGCCCAGGACACCCCAGCTTTGGCCCAGCGGCTGGACCTTCCTTCTGCACTGTTTACATTGCATCCTGGATGGGACGTCTCTCGCACTGTGCTGCTCTCAGGAGGAGGAGGGGATGGCAGGAACTGGATGGACTGTGAACTTGCCAAGACACGCATAACCCCTGTGTACCTCCGGGTGTCTGCTGGCATTACATGGCAGCTGTGCCAGCCAGGGGAGAAGAACAGAGAGGAGAGGTGCCACTTCGATCTGCCCTGCCAGCAGTGGCCTTTGGAGGCACCTTCTGGGGCTCTGGCCTGTTTTCCAGGGAGAGTAGCAGTGGCTTCATGAGGCTTGGAGCTGCTGTGGCCTCCACTGGCATCTATGTTTCCAAAAGTGCCTTTGTCCCAGGCTCCATAGTGACAGCTGGGCCCAAATCAGAAAGAAGAGGAGACCAGTAAGGGCAGGGCCTCCTGTGGGCAGGAAAGCCCCTGGGTGCGGCTCTTGGCAGGGATTGGCCTGCAGGTGAGGCGGGCATTCCATGGGGCAAGGAGTACTTTGGGCCCTTTGTCCCCAACCACTGCACGTGGGCTTTGCTCAGAAGTCTACCCAGCCCCTCCCTGGCCTGTGCATTTGGAATAATCTTGGTTCCACCACCTTCTGGCCTTGGGTGCTCTGGGCTCCACAAGCAGATGGATGTAAGGCCTGCCCTTCTCCAGCCAGCGGGTGCCTGGCCTGAGGAGCTCAGGGCAGTTCTGTTGGGGATTCCAATGAGGGAGGAAGCAGGCCTGCTGCCACCGGGGCCTTCCCTCCCGCAAACCCATTCCTGCGACTTCGAGCCTGGGCTCGGCCCATGCCCACCACTGCCCCCAGAAGCCGATCTTCAGAAATCAATAATATGAGTTTTTATTTTGTTTGTTTTTTTAGTTTATTTTGGAATCTAGTATTTCAATAATTTAAGAATCAGAAGCACTGGCCTTTCTACATTTTATAACATTATTTTGTATATAATGTGTATTTATAATATGGAACATGTGTACAGGAGTTTACTTCTTGGGTCCTGTCTTTGTGATAGCAGAGTGGGAATCCTCTCCCCATCTTCTCACCCCAGAGGACTCTTAAACCTCATTCTCATGTTGTTGCCAAGTGCCCCTCCGGAACCCCTGCAACCTAGGGACACATTTGGATTGGTGTATTGTGAGAAGGGCCTTTGTACCCACTTGGTCCCTGGGGAGCCCAGCCTCACCCATCTGGTCCCAGCCCGGGCCAGCCTTCCTTGCCTGATGGCTTCGAGGTTGGTTGCTATTTCCCGCTGTCCCCTTTATGCTCCTACCATTCCTGGGAGAATGCTCCTCTTGCTGGACTCTCCTCTCACACTGGAAGAAGTTTATGGAGCTCGCTGTCCTCTACGAGTTTGCTGTTATTCAAAAGGATTCCCTCATCAGACAACAGGGCCTCTGAGCCATGAGGACATCTGGGTCCTTCATCCCTGCTCTTAGCCCTTGTGGGGAACTGGTGTGGGGGATCTCCTTGGGGTCATCCGCCTTGCAGCTGGCCGAGAGCAGAGGGTTTGGGTGCTTTGTCTGCCCAGAGCTGCTGGACTTGATTGTAGACTGGGTTCCTCTGGCTGAGGTGCTAATGAGGGAGTTTCCAGTCTACTTGATGCCCGGCTTCCTCTGAGGCACAGGATAGTCCCTAAGGTGCCACAGTCCTCTCTCTGTAGCCACAAACATAACCCCTTGGGAAGTAAATGATGACAGCATGAGCCATTGACAAAAATCTGAGCAATGCTCTTAGCCTGTCCACAGTAAAGTGAAACAGAGCCCCAGATGCTTTGCCCTGAGTATGGTTCAACACACAGCGAACTTGTCTCCCCTTTCTCCTTGCTGTGTCCGCAGTACGCCAGCCCCAGACATGGGTGCTCATGCCAGGGCCCAGGGGCACACACATGCTCCTCGCCTTGCCCATTGCTCCTTGTTCCCTTCCCTGCACACACAGGGTATCAAACAGGAAAGGATTCAGGGAACTGTTCCCACAGCCTGAGCCGGAGCAGGGGGAAGAACAACACGACCTCATTCTTCCTGCCCAAATTGAAACAGGAAAGCGGCTCCCGGACCTTGGGGGCGGGGGGAACTGGGCTGGGACAGAAGGCAAGATGACGAGGCTCCCATGTGGGGGACAGGTGGGACACTCGCATGCCTGCACGTCCACACCACCAGGCTGTGCTGGGCTGCACGGGCCATCAGGCTAGCAGAGGAGGGATAGCTAACTTGAAAGGCTCTGACACCCGAGGTGGGGAGCCAGGAGACCCTTGTCCAAGCTGGCTTTCTGGGGGATGTGGGAAGCCCTGCATGCACTTGGCCTGTGCCTCGCTGTACCTCTAGCAACTCAGCAGAAGCCAGGCCAGACACTTTAGTTGTGAACAGGCCACCTCCATCCCTCCTCTCTCTGGGGCTTACCTGAAAGTCACTCTTGAGGGACCAGCCCCTTCCCACAGGCAAGGGACTTGAGGCTTTCCTGACCATGTGACTTTCCAGGGATACAGATATGCCAGGCATGGCAGAAACAAGGCTAGACCACAGCTCCAGACTCACCATGAGGTGATTTCAAATACCTACATTTAGTTTGCAGTCTCACAGGTGAATTCAGAGAAGCTTGAGAGTTTACTTTTTCCATCCTCAGCTCCACTTTTAATATTCTGAGACAGAGTCGTGCTAAGTCTCTGGCTGGACTTGAACTGTCGATCCTCCTTCCTCAGCCTCCTAGAGTGCTGGACTATAGATTCACAGGCTCAGGCCTGGTTTAGAACCCAACAGTCTACCAACAGGGCCATGCCTAGAGAATCGATCTGACCTCACGGTAACCTTTAGCCTTGCAGACAGCTGCTTCTTCAGGACTTCAGGTAGGCTGCTGACCACCTGGAGATGTGAAGCACTTTTATTCTGCTTCTCAGGCCCTCTGCGGCCTCTGGCCAGTGTTAGGCTAGCCAAGAGGTAGAAGACAAGGAAGAGAGTGGTTCCTGCCTGTCCCACTCAGGCTGGATGAGGGCACTGGACTCAGCCCAGGGGCCAGGACCATCTCTGGCTCTCTGCCTGCACCTCTCTGCCTCTCCCCTCTTTGGTCCACACCGGAGGACCCAGCCTCTGCCCACGTGGCCTGCTTCATTCCGGGAAGGGGATGGAAATGATTCACTCAGGGAACTGTGACTGTCCCTTCCCGGGGAGGGGATGCGCCTGAGAGGTCCCCGTGACCTTGCCCGTGCCGCCTCGCCCTCCCTCGATCCTTGGGCGCTCGGTCTGGCCCCGAGCCTGGCTGGACCCTGGAG